ACCGTAGTAGGTAACGGTGATTATTGAGCTGGGCTCTAGACCGTGATAAGAAATGATGAATTGACACTAAACGAACAAAGTTAATCATGAGATAATAACACCCTAGATTGAGGGTCTTGGAAATTGAAACATTGATTATACTTAGTATAGTTGTCATTGTACTTGTCAAATGCTTCCAAGTACTGACCTCCCCTTCACGGGGGAGGCCACCTCACAGTTTCAGGTAGAACTTGAAGGTTGCTACCAGTGCCGTTGCTCTGAAAGAATTTAGGAGAAGAAGACGTGGTTCGTGCTTCCTCTGTTCCTGTTTTAAAATCATTTAAATTAATGCTCATGGATGTTATCTTTTGAATAATTATTTGATGGCTTGTATGCCCATGTTTCGCCAAGTGTGGCTTGAACACTTGTTACATTACTTCCGCTGTTTTAAATGAATATTTTACATTATGGTTGTTTACGGATGAACTATGTGTGAATGGTATACAAGACGCCTTGTACAATATGGATGAGTTGGGCTGCGGTTGACTATTCGTATTGTACGGCGGGTTGTTGACGTGTCCGGTAGGTCCGGGGCGTGACAATTTAATTGGTATCAGAGACTTAGTCCGTAAACTTCATAATGAAGCTTCAAAATCTCTTTTTGAAAACGAATTTGAAAACCATGAGCATAAAAGTTTTGTACTTATAGAACTTTTGGTACTTGAGTTGCAAAGTCTCTAATTGTTAAGATGGTACCCTTAACAATTGGTATGACAGTGATTTGAGCCAAAGGATGTCTTTAAGTACCTATTCGTCACTTGACATTGATACGAGTCTAATGACTCATTCTACTTCCTTTCAGAAATGGAGCCAATCGGAAGGATCACTAGGAGGAACCCGACGGGCCGTGTACCGGGTGGATCCGAGCGCGGTAGCCGGGGGTCCTCTAGGGGATCAAGAGGAAGGGGCCGTGGAGGCCAACACCAAACCGTGAGCGATGGCCACGTCGAGAAGGAAAGTGAGACCTATTGGTCTTATGAAGATTCAACCTACCGGCCGGAAACGGAGCCGGTTGAGACCCCTTATGAAGGGGATGATGATGATGTGAGTGACGAGGAGGAAAGTGGCTCCTTGGCCAGGATTGAAGCGCTGCTCCAACAATACCACCGGGAGCGCGAGTAAAGAAGGGAACGCCGAAGACGCCGTGCGGGGCAACCTTCGGGTGGGGCTCCAAGGGGTAGGAGTTTTTGTGACTCGAGGACCCATGTAGAAACGCATGGGAGTCGGGGTGATGGAGGTCCAACCATAAGGATCTCCAAATACATTAAAGAGGCGAGGGACTTGGGGTGCAAACCGTTCGATGGGACGGGAGACATCTCGGTTGCCGCACAGTGGATCAAGAGGCTGAACGAGGCATCCCTTGACATGCAACTCACCCCCGATTTCAAACTGAGAATCGCGGTGAGGCTACTTGAAGGGTTGGCATCCAAGTGGTGGGATGGAACCACGGGCAAGTATGGCGGGACTGTTACTTGGGAGGATTTTCGGAAAGAATTCTTTGCCCAATACTACTCTGACTTTGAGGTAAACGCCAAGGTGAGGGAATACACTCTTCTGACCCAAGGGGGTAACATGACAGTGAAAGAACTTGAGCACAAGTTCAGGGACCTTGCTGATCACATACCGGAGTATGCTTGTGATGAAAACCGAATGGTGAATCACTTTTGGGAGGCCTTGGACCTGGAGATACGTGATAGGGCGACTCAATTGCCCAACATGACTTTCAGCCAAGTTGTTGCTCAAGGGTTGAAGGGAGAAAAGCAATGGGAGGAGAGGAAGAAGAGGGACGCCGAGGAGGCGAAGAAGAGAAAATGGGAGAACCATGGCCCCCAAGGTTCCAATAAGAAGGTGAACCATGGGGGAGGAGGATCATTTAGGGCACCGGCACCGCCGTCTAGGGGAAGCTCAGGCACGGGTGGACAAAACTCGGGGTCGCAAGCCCCAATGATGATTAGGTGCAGGAACTGTAACAGGAACCATGGGGGAAAGTGCCGTGACCCTCCTCGGTGCTACCAATGTGGAGACACGGGGCATATTAAACCAAATTGCCCTCAACTTGGTGGGAACCGAGGGGCGGGGTCTAGCGGCGCTACCACGGCGAGTAGGAGCCGAACCGGAGCACCCCAAGCTAGTGCAGGGCAAGGGGGGGCGAGCACGAGCAACGCGCCGTCCGTGAACCAAGGAAGGACTCAAGCTAGAGTCTACGCAATGACCGAGGCCGATGCTCGGGCCAACCCCGACTCCGTTGCAAGTAACCCCTTGTTCACTCTTGTATTATTCATATACATGTGTATTATAAGCTTTAGGGAGCATGTGCGGGTCAACCGGTGACGTTTCGGCTCGTTTTTAGCGGAAAAGATGAGTTAAACACGCCCAGGGACGAACCGGCGCCGGCCCGGGCTTGAACCGGCGCCGGCCTAGCGTAAAGCGTAGCCAAAACGAAGCTGGCAGTAGCTTACCCGGCGCCGACCAGGGGGGGCAACCCGGCGCCGGCCCGGAAAAATTTTCCGGAAGTGCTATCCAGTGGCTTACCCAGCGCCGGCCAGGGGGGCAACCCAGCGCCGGTCCGGGGAGAATTTTCCGGTTTTCGCTCCAGGGGATACCCGGCGCCGGTCCGGTGAAATTTTTCACTTTTCTGGTTCCAGTAGCTTACCCGGCGCCGGTCCAGTGTATTTTTACTCGAAAAATTTTCGTTAAGCCTCGTTTCGATCCGGTACGTTAAGTGGTGTGTCTTACATGACTTATATATGTAGGAACATTAAAGATCAATGGTAGAAACGCAAGAATTCTCATTGATACCAGGGCACAACGTTCATTCGTGAGTGAAGCGTTTGCCGAAAGTTTAGACATGCCGTTGATGGAAATGACACAACCCTTGTTAGTCTCTACACCGTTAGGAGACGATGTGGAGAGGAAACACTACTATCCTTCGTGTGGAGTAGAAGTGATGGGTCAACCTTTGACTTGTGACTTCGTACCTCTAAGTATGTTAGAATTCGATGCAATTCTAGGGATGGATTGGCTCGAAAAACATCATGCTCGAGTGGATTGTTATGCCAAGGTGTTGGAGACTCGAGGATACTGAGGGAAGCACTCTACGTTTCGAGGGAGATCGGGGAGGATCTCATAGTTGTATTATATCCGTGATTAGGGCACGGAAGATGATGAAGAAGGGATGCCATGCATACCTTGCTTATGTGGTGGACGAAGCAAAGAAGGAGGTTGACATCAACGATGTACGTGTCGTGTACAAATATCCGGATGTCTTTCCCAAAGACTTGCCGGGGCTTCCACCCGACAGGGAGACCGAATTCGTAATTGAAGTGGAGCCGGGAACCAAACCCATTTCGATTCCTCCTTATCGAATGGCACCGGCCGAGCTTCAAGAGTTGAAGGTTCAACTTCAAGAGCTATTGGAAAACGGGTTCATTAGGCCCAGTCATTCACCGTGGGGAGCACCCGTACTCTTCGTTAAGAAGAAAGATGGCACACTAAGAATGTGTATAGATTACCGACAGTTGAACAAGGTCACGATCAAGAACAGGTATCCTTTACCGAGGATTGATGACTTGTTTGATCAACTTCGAGGGGCGACAGTATTTTTGAAGATTGATTTGAGGTCGGGGTATCATCAGTTGAAGATAAAGGAGAGTGACATACCTAAGAGTGCATTTCGCACTAGATATGGTCACTACGAGTTTTTGGTGATGTCATTTGGTCTCACCAATGCACCGGCGGCGTTCATGGACATGATGAACCATGTGTTTAATGAATACTTAGATCAATTTGTGATAGTATTCATTGACGATATTCTAGTATACTCCAAAGGTGAAGAGGAGCATGAAGATCATTTGAGGCTTGTTGTGACACCGCACCCGAATGTCCTTGGAGATTTGATTTAGATATTCAAAGTTTATGTATTGGATTTTTGATTCCCGAACAATTTGTAAAACGATTAATGTTCTACGTAGTGCATGGTTGAATATCGTACTGTTCAAACTCGTACACTAGTGTCGGGTTTCGCAAATACTTATTCGGGACTTATTAATAAATAAAAGAGCCCAACATTACCTAAATAGTGACACATAATCCTTCAAGACAATTTGAGGAAGGTCGGGTGGCCCAAACATTATTTTGGGCCAACCTGCTAAAAATAGCAAGTGTTCGAGAATGGCGTTCTAAACCCACTCGGGAGTGACCCACACGGCTAGTAGCCCAATAATACGTATGACAAATGTCAAATAAGTGATTGAATGATTAAGGAAGAATACAAATGCCTATAACCCCACCTTGGGCCTTATTGAGCTAAATAATGGGAGTAGGATTTTCCTTCTATAATATTCATCAAGTAAATTATTGGGATGAGCCTACACATATTGGAGATCAATAATGTGATTTAGGAAGTTGACTTGTTCTAAGTAAATTAGGATGAGTACAAAAAGACATTTTTGACAAAGATAAAACAATAGGACCCATCTTCCCATTTTTGGAAGTATTGGTAGATATTTTGGACCCCAAATTTAATGGGATCAATTGGGAACCACTCCACATGATATTAGTACCTGCAAAACAAATAAAAATGGGTTAGAAGACCTACCTTGGCCGGCCATAATGGAGGGGAGCTGCACATGACTTGATAGGAATCAAAGCTTGGGCCACCATCCTTATTTTCGCACAAATTGGTGTGCTGTTTGTCTCCTCTCATTATAGAAGCTATACTCGACCAAACAACGTGAATAATATGTCCTTGGATAGCCTTTGAAGTCTAGTATCTCAATTGAGTGGTCTTTGTTCGAGGAGAGAAAGCTTATCTTACAAAAATCGAGCTGGAGTGAGTGGTGGTCTGTGAACTCGAGCTGTGAGAGTGCTGAGACTGTTTGGTTGATATCTCGAGTTATACCAATCCAATTAAGGCGTGTTAGATACCAAAAGAAAGGTCTCAAGACGAGGAATCCGTGAAGGTCTGGTTTGCATCAATCGGAGTAGAGGAAGGCTTCCAAATCGTCCGATCAGAACGCGACCTCGCAGGAACGGATTTACTCTTCTAAGTGAGTTGTTAATCCCAAAACCTTTCCTTTCATTTTCCAAATGATATGAACGATTGGTGGAACTATTGTACACTAATCCAAGTGTATAATATGTCCTTGTGAAGTTATTTTATTGATGTAAAGGTTAGATACTAACCTAGATGCAAATATTGGAAAACTAGGAATCGAATTAGCCGGAAAACACCCGTTCTAGGGGCTGTTTTCGTATCAACGATTAGGGGTTGAAATAGCAACTTGAGGAGGCTGTTTAGCACCCATTTTCAAGCAAGGAACTAGTTCTCAATCTTCCTTGGCCGAGGCTTTGGTCATTGGATCGAGAAGGAAGGTTTTAAAGCTCATTTGAGGTGAGGACCGACATCTAGTTGCTTACAACTTGTAGGTTATGCATGAGATTACCTAAATGCTTAAATCATGTTTTTGTGAATAAATATGCTTGAACATGATATGAATGATAAGTAATGGACTTGATCATGAATTGAAACCATATTGATGAATATGGAGTTATGTGAGATAAAGGTATGTTAATATGGTAAAATGACCTTTCCAACTCATATATGAATGTTATGTGTATGTAAATGTATAGTTGCATGATGATGCTTAGCACATGGGAGGCTGCCACATATCTATTGATATGGAGGGGCTACCATTAAGAATAAATGAGTTGTAGGAATAATCTTAATAGTATTGTGATGCTAGTTAAGGATTGTTCTAAATGTTGATAGAATCAAACTTAAGGTTTGAGTTGTTTGTGATGAACTTGAATGAGATTCAAGTGTCAAGTGTGATATCATGGAGTAGGAGATCTATGGTGTGATTGTATGAAGTAGGAGATCTATGGTGTGATTGTATGAAGTAGGAGATCTATGGGGTGAATACATGAAGTAGGAGATCTATGGTATGATTATATGAAGTAGGAGATCTATGATGCGAGTGCATGATGATGTACTCGAGCCTAACTCTAGAAATGAGAAGTTATATTAGGGTTGGACCCTATGTATTGTCGTGACTATTAGTCACGGGGTTTGGGAAATGTTTTATAACAAACACGGGCCTTTGAGCCGACTACTTGACTTTATATAAAGTAAGTATGTATTTTGAAAGGGGTAATCTGGGATTACGGCCTATACTATATTATCACCCTATTTGAGGGTCTTGTGTGTGAAATACTTGTTGTATATCTATTAGATGCCTGCCACACCAGCACTTTATAGCCCTATAGAGTGCTGACCCCTTCGGGGGCGTCCCACCACCATTTTTCAGGTTGAGGCTAGAGCTTGCTTCCTGTGCTCGTTGCTCGAGAGATCATATAGGAGGGAAGACTTGGTTCGTGCTTCCTCCATTCTGTTTTTAAACATTAATAAACATGCTCATGGATATTTTACTGTAGAGCCTGCGTGCTCATGAATAGCCTTGTGTGGCCCTTTCGTTTTAAACAATGTTTTCCGCTGCGTTTCGAATTACTTATTATGTTTGTTTATGGATGTGTATGTGTGAATGATATTCAAGACGCCTTGTATATTATGAATGTGTTGGACTGCGGTTGACTATTCATATTGTACGGCGGGTTGTTGACGTGTCCGGATAGGTCCGGGGCGTGACAATTAAGTTGGTATCAGAGCCTTAGTCCATAAACTTCATAATGAAGTCTCAAAATTCTCTTTTTGGAAAAGATTTTGAAAACCATGAGCATAGAAGTTTTGTACTTGGAGAGCTTTTGGTACTTGGGTTGCAAGGTCTCTAATTGTTAAGATGGTACCCTTAGCAATTGGTATGGCGGTGACTCGAGCCAAAATGTGTCTTAAGTACCTATCCGTCAATTGACATTTGATACGAGTCTAACGACTCTTTCCAAATTTCTTTCAGAAATGGACCGTGGTGGCAGGATTACTAGGAGAAACCCGACGGGCCGTGTACCAGTGGAGACTGGACAGGGCAGTCGAAGGACCTCTAGGGCATCTAGAGGAGCTGGCCGTGGAGGCCGATCACAGACCGTGAGTGACGGTCATGTTGACACAGAAAGTGAAACCTACCGGTCCTATGAGGACTCGACTTACCAACCGGAGACCGAGCCGGTTGAGACCCCTTACGAAGGGGATGCCGATGATATAAGTGATGAAGAAGGGGAGAATGACTCCCTAGCCAGAATTGAGGCGCTGCTCCAGCAATACCAGCGGGAGCGCGAGGAAAGGAGGGAACGCCGAAGGCGCCGAGGAGGGCGAACTTCGGGTGGGGCTTCAAGAGGAAGAAGCCATGGCGACTCTAGGGCCCACATTGAACCACATGGGGGCCGGGGTGATGGAGGTCCGATCATAAGGATCTCCAAATACCTCAAAGAGGCACGAGACTTGGGGTGCAAACCCTTCAACGGAGCGGGTGACATCTCGGTTGCCGCCGAATGGATCAAGAGGTTGAACGAAGCAGCCCTTGATATGCAACTCACCCCCGAATTTAAACTAAGGGTGGCGGTGAGGTTGCTTGAAGGGATGGCATCCACATGGTGGGACGGAGCCAAGGGAAAGTATGGCAATACCGTGACTTGGGAGGAGTTCCGACAGGAGTTCTTTGCCCAATACTATTCTGATTTTGAGGTGAACAATAAGAGGAGAGAGTATACCCTCCTGACCCAAGGTGGCACGATGACGGTGAGGCAACTTGAACACAAATTCAGGGAACTCGCGGAATTCATACCGGAGTACATATGTGATGAGAACCGGATGGTGAATCACTTCTGGGATGCCTTGGACCTTGACATACGCGAGAGGGCAACACAATTGCCTAATATGACGTTTAATCAAGTGGTTGAACAAGGCCTGAAGGGAGAGAAGGAGTGGGAGGAAAGAAAACGAAGGAACGCCGAGGAGGCGAAGAAGAGGAAGTGGGAGAGTCACGGCTCCCAAGGTTCCAACAAAAAGGGGAACCATGGAGGGGGATCTTTCCGTGCACCGCCGCCACCATCTAGGGGGAACCAGGGCTCGAGCAGGCATGACTCGGGGTCACAAGCCTCGGGGACGCCTCGTTGCTTGAATTGCAAGAAGAGTCACCTCGGAAAATGCCGTGAACCTCCTAGATGCTTCCAATGCGGGAATACCGGGCATTTGAAGGCGCATTGCCCACAATTGGGTGGGGCAAGGTCATCGGGACCAAGTAGCGGGGCCACGGGGACGAGAAACCAAGCCCGGGGTTCCCAATCAACTAGGGGGCATGGAGGAGCAAGCGCGAGCAACGCGCCATCGGTGAATCAAGAAAGGACTCAAGCTAGAGTCAATGCGATGACGGAGGCGGATGCTCAAGCTAACCCGGATTCCGTTGCAGGTATTACCTTTTGTATACTTATGTTTTACCCTTGATTAGTCCATAAATTGAGGTTGCTAGTCGTTGGGATCGTTGCACGAAGCTTTGGGGTCAAACGGAGCGAAATCGGGTGAAAGACGGCTGATTTCTGCCAACGCACACCAGGCTGGACCATACGCACGGCCGTGCGTTGTCCGTGCGTTGGTCCGTGCGTTGGTGGCAGTAGCAACCCGGGAAGAAATTGTTATACGCACGGCCGTGCGTTGTCCGTGCATTGGTCCGTGCGTTGGTGGCAGTAGCAACCGGGAAGAAATTGCTATACGCACGGACGTGCGTTGTCCGTGCGTTGGCCCGTGCGTTAGTGGCAGTAGCTCCGTTTTGAGGTTATAAGACACGCACGCCGTGCGTGCCTCCTAGGCACGCCGTGCGTACCTCCTGGGCAGCCCAAAGTCGACTTTTTCGCGCCGTATTGCAACGTTAAGACCCGTTCTTGATCCCAAACACGTGTGTGAACATAATAAACCTCTCTAAATGTATAGGAATGGTAGGAAAAATGTCTTACATGGTTCATAAATGTAGGGACACTAAAGATTAATGGGAAGGATGCGCGAATCCTTATCGATACCGGGGCGCAACGTTCATTTGTGAATGAAGCGTTCGCCAAGAGGTTGGGGGTGCAATCCGCACCATTGATGCAAACCTTAGTGGTATCAACACCACTAGGAGATGACGTGGAAAGAACTTGTTATTATCCATCTTGTGGGGTGGAGGTTAATGGTCAAACCTTGACGTGTGACTTCGTACCGCTGGGCATGATTGAATTCGATGCAATCCTAGGGATGGATTGGCTAGAAAGGAACCATGCTAGGGTAGATTGCTACACGAAGGTTCTTGAACTCGAAGGCAATGATGGGGAGACCCTACGCTTCGAGGGCGATCGAGGGAGATCAAATAGCTGTATCATATCCGCCGTGAGAGCGAGAAGTATGATGAGAAAGGGATGCCACGCATATCTAGCATACGTGGTTGACAAAACCAAAGAGGAAACGAACATCGATGATGTGAGGGTGGTTTGTAAGTATCCGGATGTCTTCCCTAAAGACCTACCGGGGCTTCCACCTGACAGAGAGATTGAATTTGTGATCGAGGTCGAGCCTGGTACCAAACCAATCTCCATACCGCCATACCGTATGGCACCCGCTGAACTTAACGAGTTGAAAACCCAATTGCAAGAGCTTTTGGATAATGGTTTCATTAGACCAAGCCACTCCCCGTGGGGAGCACCAGTTCTTTTTGTGAAAAAGAAAGATGGGACACTTCGAATGTGTATTGACTATCGTCAACTGAACAAGGTCACAATCAAGAATAGGTATCCTTTGCCTAGAATTGATGACTTGTTTGATCAACTACGAGGGGCAACCGTGTTTTCAAAGATTGATTTGAGGTCGGGTTACCATCAATTGAAGATTAAGGAAGACGACATACCAAAGAGTGCTTTCCGCACAAGGTATGGGCATTTTGAGTTCCTTGTTATGTCGTTTGGGTTAACAAACGCCCCAGCGGCATTCATGGACTTGATGAACCGAGTATTCCATAAATACTTGGATCGATTCGTGATTGTGTTCATAGATGACATTTTGATTTATTCAAAGAGTGAGGAAGAGCATGAAGAGCACTTGATACTCGTTCTTGAGACACTTCGGGAGAAGCAACTTTATGCCAAATTTTCTAAATGTGAATTTTGGCTAAAGGAAATTGGCTTTCTCGGGCATGTGGTTTCGGGATCGGGAATTGCTGTTGATAATAAGAAGATAGAGGCCATTACCGAATGGGAGAGACCAAAGAATGTCAAGGAAATTCGTAGTTTCCTTGGATTGGCAGGCTATTACAGAAAGTTCGTGGAAAAGTTCTCTGTTTTGGCGTCGCCGTTGACGAAGCTCACTCGAAAGGGAGCTAAGTTTATATGGGATGACAAATGTGAGAAAGGATTCATCGAACTGAAGAAGAGATTGACCGAGGCATCGGTACTTGCATTACCCAAACAGGGTGTGGGGTACGATGTCTATAGTGACGCGAGCATCCAAGGGTTTGGGTGTGTGTTGATGCAGGAAGGGAGGGTAATTGCCTATGCTTCACGACAGTTGAAGAAGCATGAGGTAAATTATCCTACCCATGATCTGGAGCTGGGAGCGGTAGTGTTTGCACTGAAGATTTGGAGACATTATCTCTACGGAGAGACATGTCACATATATACTGACCATAAGAGCTTGAAGTACGTGTTTACTCAGAAGGAGTTAAACATGAGACAGAGACGGTGGATGGAGTTGATAAAGGACTACCATCTAGTTATTGAGTACCATCCAGGTAAGGCAAACGTTATAGCAGATGCCCTCAGCCGGAAGAGTTCGTCTGGGGCATTGTTGACTAGTTTGAGGGCACTGAGGGCCCAATTGGATGTATCTAGCGACGGTGCCTTATTGGCACGGTTCGAAGTGAGACCGACTTTACTTGATGAGATCAAGAAGGGTCAAGAGACGGACACAGAACTTATGAAGGTCCGGGAACGCATGCAAGCGGGACCGGTGGAGGATTTCAGGGAAAGAGATGACGGTCTCTTGTTATTTCGTGACCGAGTGTGTGTACCGTCAGATGATGAGCTCCGAAAGTCCATCTTAGAGGAGGCTCATTCATCGGCTTATGCCATGCACCCGGGGGGCACGAAAATGTACTGTGATCTGAAAGAAAGTTACTGGTGGTCTGGAATGAAGAGGGAAATAGCCGAGTACATCAGTCGGTGCCTTACTTGTCAACAAGTTAAGGCAGAACATCAACACCCAGCAGGCTTATTGCAACCACTCTCCATCCCTGAATGGAAGTGGGAGCACGTGACTATGGATTTCGTGGTAGGCTTACCACGGACTATCAGGAACTATGACGCGGTTTGGGTTGTTGTGGATAGGCTCACAAAGAGTGCACACTTCTTGCCTATCAACACTACCTACCCACTTGAGAGGTTAGCCAAATTGTATACGGATGAGATTGTGAGGCTGCATGGGGTCCCAGTGACCATTGTATCCGATAGAGACCCACGATTCACATCACGTTTTTGGCCGAAATTTCAAGAGTCTATGGGAACGAGATTGAAGTTCAGTACTGCATTCCATCCACAGACGGATGGGCAGTCTGAAAGGGTTATACAGATCTTAGAGGATATGCTGAGGGCTTGTGCATTGGAGTTCCAAGGAAGTTGGGACAACCACTTAGCACTTGTGGAGTTTGCCTATAACAACAGTTATCAGGCAAGCATCGGCATGCCTCCATACGAGGCATTGTATGGGAGGAGGTGTCGTACACCGTTATGCTGGGACGAGGTTGGCATGGCCAAACTCGAAGGTACTGAGTTGGTTGAGGTCACCAAATCAAAGGTGAAATTGATTCGAGAGAGACTCAAAGCGGCGCAGGATAGGCAAAAGAGTTATGCAGATAAGCGTCGAAGAACCTTAGAGTTTAAGGTTGATGACGAGGTATTCTTGAAAGTTTCTCCTTGGAAAGGAATCATTCGATTTCAAACCCGAGGGAAGCTTAACCCACGATACATAGGTCCATTCAGAATTTTAGAGAGGATTGGGGCCGTTGCATATCGTCTACAGTTGACTCCTGAGTTAGAGAAGATACATAATGTGTTTCATGTATCCATGCTTAAGAAATATGTACATGATCCCTCCCACGTATTGGAAAAGCCGCCTGTAGAGGTACGTGAGGATTTGAACTACGCTGTACAACCAATCAAGGTCACCGATAGAAAGGTGAAGAAACTGAGGAGCAAAGAAGTCCCAATGGTTAAAGTACTTTGGAAGAGCGATCGGGTCGAAGAAGAGACATGGGAAACAGAAGCTTTGATGAGGAAGCAGTATGCTTTCCTATTCGAGTAGAGCTGTGAATTTCGGGGACGAAATTCCTGTTAAGGGGGGGTGAACTTGTGACACCGCACCCGAATGTCCTTGGAGATTTGATTTAGATATTCAAAGTTTATGTATTGGATTTTTGATTCCCGAACAATTTGTAAAACGATTAATGTTCTACGTAGTGCATGGTTGAATATCGTACTGTTCAAACTCGTACACTAGTGTCGGGTTTCGCAAATACTTATTCGGGACTTATTAATAAATAAAAGAGCCCAACATTACCTAAATAGTGACACATAATCCTTCAAGACAATTTGAGGAAGGTCGGGTGGCCCAAACATTATTTTGGGCCAACCTGCTAAAAATAGCAAGTGTTCGAGAATGGCGTTCTAAACCCACTCGGGAGTGAGCCACACGGCTAGTAGCCCAATAATACGTATGACAAATGTCAAATAAGTGATTGAATGATTAAGGAAGAATACAAATGCCTATAACCCCACCTTGGGCCTTATTGAGCTAAATAATGGGAGTAGGATTTTCCTTCTATAATATTCATCAAGTAAATTATTGGGATGAGCCTACACATATTGGAGATCAATAATGTGATTTAGGAAGTTGACTTGTTCTAAGTAAATTAGGATGAGTACAAAAAGACATTTTTGACAAAGATAAAACAATAGGACCCATCTTCCCATTTTTGGAAGTATTGGTAGATATTTTGGACCCCAAATTTAATGGGATCAATTGGGAACCACTCCACATGATATTAGTACCTGCAAAACAAATAAAAATGGGTTAGAAGACCTACCTTGGCCGGCCATAATGGAGGGGAGCTGCACATGACTTGATAGGAATCAAAGCTTGGGCCACCATCCTTATTTTCGCACAAATTGGTGTGCTGTTTGTCTCCTCTCATTATAGAAGCTATACTCGACCAAACAACGTGAATAATATGTCCTTGGATAGCCTTTGAAGTCTAGTATCTCAATTGAGTGGTCTTTGTTCGAGGAGAGAAAGCTTATCTTACAAAAATCGAGCTGGAGTGAGTGGTGGTCTGTGAACTCGAGCTGTGAGAGTGCTGAGACTGTTTGGTTGATATCTCGAGTTATACCAATCCAATTAAGGCGTGTTAGATACCAAAAGAAAGCTCTCAAGACGAGGAATCCGTGAAGGTCTGGTTTGCATCAATCGGAGTAGAGGAAGGCTTCCAAATCGTCCGATCAGAACGCGACCTCGCAGGAACGGATTTACTCTTCTAAGTGAGTTGTTAATCCCAAAACCTTTCCTTTCATTTTCCAAATGATATGAACGATTGGTGGAACTATTGTACACTAATCCAAGTGTATAATATGTCCTTGTGAAGTTATTTTATTGATGTAAAGGTTAGATACTAACCTAGATGCAAATATTGGAAAACTAGGAATCGAATTAGCCGGAAAACACCCGTTCTAGGGGCTGTTTTCGTATCAACGATTAGGGGTTGAAATAGCAACTTGAGGAGGCTGTTTAGCACCCATTTTCAAGCAAGGAACTAGTTCTCAATCTTCCTTGGCCGAGGCTTTGGTCATTGGATCGAGAAGGAAGGTTTTAAAGCTCATTTGAGGTGAGGACCGACATCTAGTTGCTTACAACTTGTAGGTTATGCATGAGATTACCTAAATGCTTAAATCATGTTTTTGTGAATAAATATGCTTGAACATGATATGAATGATAAGTAATGGACTTGATCATGAATTGAAACCATATTGATGAATATGGAGTTATGTGAGATAAAGGTATGTTAATATGGTAAAATGACCTTTCCAACTCATATATGAATGTTATGTGTATGTAAATGTATAGTTGCATGATGATGCTTAGCACATGGGAGGCTGCCACATATCTATTGATATGGAGGGGCTACCATTAAGAATAAATGAGTTGTAGGAATAATCTTAATAGTATTGTGATGCTAGTTAAGGATTGTTCTAAATGTTGATAGAATCAAACTTAAGGTTTGAGTTGTTTGTGATGAACTTGAATGAGATTCAAGTGTCAAGTGTGATATCATGGAGTAGGAGATCTATGGTGTGATTGTATGAAGTAGGAGATCTATGGTGTGATTGTATGAAGTAGGAGATCTATGGGGTGAATACATGAAGTAGGAGATCTATGGTATGATTATATGAAGTAGGAGATCTATGATGCGAGTGCATGATGATGTACTCGAGCCTAACTCTAGAAATGAGAAGTTATATTAGGGTTGGACCCTATGTATTGTCGTGACTATTAGTCACGGGGTTTGGGAAATGTTTTATAACAAACACGGGCCTTTGAGCCGACTACTTGACTTTATATAAAGTAAGTATGTATTTTGAAAGGGGTAATCTGGGATTACGGCCTATACTATATTATCACCCTATTTGAGGGTCTTGTGTGTGAAATACTTGTTGTATATCTATTAGATGTCTGCCACACCAGCACTTTATAGCCCTATAGAGTGCTGACCCCTTCGGGGGCGTCCCACCACCATTTTTCAGGTTGAGGCTAGAGCTTGCTTCCTGTGCTCGTTGCTCGAGAGATCATATAGGAGGGAAGACTTGGTTCGTGCTTCCTCCATTCTGTTTTTAAACATTAATAAACATGCTCATGGATATTTTACTGTAGAGCCTGCGTGCTCATGAATAGCCTTGTGTGGCCCTTTCGTTTTAAACAATGTTTTCCGCTGCGTTTCGAATTACTTATTATGTTTGTTTATGGATGTGTATGTGTGAATGATATTCAAGACGCCTTGTATATTATGAATGTGTTGGACTGCGGTTGACTATTCATATTGTACGGCGGGTTGTTGACGTGTCCGGATAGGTCCGGGGCGTGACAATTAAGTTGGTATCAGAGCCTTAGTCCATAAACTTCATAATGAAGTCTCAAAATTCTCTTTTTGGAAAAGATTTTGAAAACCATGAGCATAGAAGTTTTGTACTTGGAGAGCTTTTGGTACTTGGGTTGCAAGGTCTCTAATTGTTAAGATGGTACCCTTAGCAATTGGTATGGCGGTGACTCGAGCCAAAATGTGTCTTAAGTACCTATCCGTCAATTGACATTTGATACGAGTCTAACGACTCTTTCCAAATTTCTTTCAGAAATGGACCGTGGTGGCAGGATTACTAGGAGAAACCCGACGGGCCGTGTACCAGTGGAGACTGGACAGGGCAGTCGAAGGACCTCTAGGGCATCTAGAGGAGCTGGCCGTGGAGGCCGATCACAGACCGTGAGTGACGGTCATGTTGACACAGAAAGTGAAACCTACCGGTCCTATGAGGACTCGACTTACCAACCGGAGACCGAGCCGGTTGAGACCCCTTACGAAGGGGATGCCGATGATATAAGTGATGAAGAAGGGGAGAATGACTCCCTAGCCAGAATTGAGGCGCTGCTCCAGCAATACCAGCGGGAGCGCGAGGAAAGGAGGGAACGCCGAAGGCGCCGAGGAGGGCGAACTTCGGGTGGGGCTTCAAGAGGAAGAAGCCATGGCGACTCTAGGGCCCACATTGAACCACATGGGGGCCGGGGTGATGGAGGTCCGATCATAAGGATCTCCAAATACCTCAAAGAGGCACGAGACTTGGGGTGCAAACCCTTCAACGGAGCGGGTGACATCTCGGTTGCCGCCGAATGGATCAAGAGGTTGAACGAAGCAGCCCTTGATATGCAACTCACCCCCGAATTTAAACTAAGGGTGGCGGTGAGGTTGCTTGAAGGGATGGCATCCACATGGTGGGACGGAGCCAAGGGAAAGTATGGCAATACCGTGACTTGGGAGGAGTTCCGACAGGAGTTCTTTGCCCAATACTATTCTGATTTTGAGGTGAACAATAAGAGGAGAGAGTATACCCTCCTGACCCAAGGTGGCACGATGACGGTGAGGCAACTTGAACACAAATTCAGGGAACTCGCGGAATTCATACCGGAGTACATATGTGATGAGAACCGGATGGTGAATCACTTCTGGGATGCCTTGGACCTTGACATACGCGAGAGGGCAACACAATTGCCTAATATGACGTTTAATCAAGTGGTTGAACAAGGCCTGAAGGGAGAGAAGGAGTGGGAGGAAAGAAAACGAAGGAACGCCGAGGAGGCGAAGAAGAGGAAGTGGGAGAGTCACGGCTCCCAAGGTTCCAACAAAAAGGGGAACCATGGAGGGGGATCTTTCCGTGCACCGCCGCCACCATCTAGGGGGAACCAGGGCTCGAGCAGGCATGACTCGGGGTCACAAGCCTCGGGGACGCCTCGTTGCTTGAATTGCAAGAAGAGTCACCTCGGAAAATGCCGTGAACCTCCTAGATGCTTCCAATGCGGGAATACCGGGCATTTGAAGGCGCATTGCCCACAATTGGGTGGGGCAAGGTCATCGGGACCAAGTAGCGGGGCCACGGGGACGAGAAACCAAGCCCGGGGTTCCCAATCAACTAGGGGGCATGGAGGAGCAAGCGCGAGCAACGCGCCATCGGTGAATCAAGAAAGGACTCAAGCTAGAGTCAATGCGATGACGGAGGCGGATGCTCAAGCTAACCCGGATTCCGTTGCAGGTATTACCTTTTGTATACTTATGTTTTACCCTTGATTAGTCCATAAATTGAGGTTGCTAGTCGTTGGGATCGTTGCACGAAGCTTTGGGGTCAAACGGAGCGAAATCGGGTGAAAGACGGCTGATTTCTGCCAACGCACACCAGGCTGGACCATACGCACGGCCGTGCGTTGTCCGTGCGTTGGTCCGTGCGTTGGTGGCAGTAGCAACCCGGGAAGAAATTGTTATACGCACGGCCGTGCGTTGTCCGTGCATTGGTCCGTGCGTTGGTGGCAGTAGCAACCGGGAAGAAATTGCTATACGCACGGACGTGCGTTGTCCGTGCGTTGGCCCGTGCGTTAGTGGCAGTAGCTCCGTTTTGAGGTTATAAGACACGCACGCCGTGCGTGCCTCCTAGGCACGCCGTGCGTACCTCCTGGGCAGCCCAAAGTCGACTTTTTCGCGCCGTATTGCAACGTTAAGACCCGTTCTTGATCCCAAACACGTGTGTGAACATAATAAACCTCTCTAAATGTATAGGAATGGTAGGAAAAATGTCTTACATGGTTCATAAATGTAGGGACACTAAAGATTAATGGGAAGGATGCGCGAATCCTTATCGATACCGGGGCGCAACGTTCATTTGTGAATGAAGCGTTCGCCAAGAGGTTGGGGGTGCAATCCGCACCATTGATGCAAACCTTAGTGGTATCAACACCACTAGGAGATGACGTGGAAAGAACTTGTTATTATCCATCTTGTGGGGTGGAGGTTAATGGTCAAACCTTGACGTGTGACTTCGTACCGCTGGGCATGATTGAATTCGATGCAATCCTAGGGATGGATTGGCTAGAAAGGAACCATGCTAGGGTAGATTGCTACACGAAGGTTCTTGAACTCGAAGGCAATGATGGGGAGACCCTACGCTTCGAGGGCGATCGAGGGAGATCAAATAGCTGTATCATATCCGCCGTGAGAGCGAGAAGTATGATGAGAAAGGGATGCCACGCATATCTAGCATACGTGGTTGACAAAACCAAAGAGGAAACGAACATCGATGATGTGAGGGTGGTTTGTAAGTATCCGGATGTCTTCCCTAAAGACCTACCGGGGCTTCCACCTGACAGAGAGATTGAATTTGTGATCGAGGTCGAGCCTGGTACCAAACCAATCTCCATACCGCCATACCGTATGGCACCCGCTGAACTTAACGAGTTGAAAACCCAATTGCAAGAGCTTTTGGATAATGGTTTCATTAGACCAAGCCACTCCCCGTGGGGAGCACCAGTTCTTTTTGTGAAAAAGAAAGATGGGACACTTCGAATGTGTATTGACTATCGTCAACTGAACAAGGTCACAATCAAGAATAGGTATCCTTTGCCTAGAATTGATGACTTGTTTGATCAACTACGAGGGGCAACCGTGTTTTCAAAGATTGATTTGAGGTCGGGTTACCATCAATTGAAGATTAAGGAAGACGACATACCAAAGAGTGCTTTCCGCACAAGGTATGGGCATTTTGAGTTCCTTGTTATGTCGTTTGGGTTAACAAACGCCCCAGCGGCATTCATGGACTTGATGAACCGAGTATTCCATAAATACTTGGATCGATTCGTGATTGTGTTCATAGATGACATTTTGATTTATTCAAAGAGTGAGGAAGAGCATGAAGAGCACTTGATACTCGTTCTTGAGACACTTCGGGAGAAGCAACTTTATGCCAAATTTTCTAAATGTGAATTTTGGCTAAAGGAAATTGGCTTTCTCGGGCATGTGGTTTCGGGATCGGGAATTGCTGTTGATAATAAGAAGATAGAGGCCATTACCGAATGGGAGAGACCAAAGAATGTCAAGGAAATTCGTAGTTTCCTTGGATTGGCAGGCTATTACAGAAAGTTCGTGGAAAAGTTCTCTGTTTTGGCGTCGCCGTTGACGAAGCTCACTCGAAAGGGAGCTAAGTTTATATGGGATGACAAATGTGAGAAAGGATTCATCGAACTGAAGAAGAGATTGACCGAGGCATCGGTACTTGCATTACCCAAACAGGGTGTGGGGTACGATGTCTATAGTGACGCGAGCATCCAAGGGTTTGGGTGTGTGTTGATGCAGGAAGGGAGGGTAATTGCCTATGCTTCACGACAGTTGAAGAAGCATGAGGTAAATTATCCTACCCATGATCTGGAGCTGGGAGCGGTAGTGTTTGCACTGAAGATTTGGAGACATTATCTCTACGGAGAGACATGTCACATATATACTGACCATAAGAGCTTGAAGTACGTGTTTACTCAGAAGGAGTTAAACATGAGACAGAGACGGTGGATGGAGTTGATAAAGGACTACCATCTAGTTATTGAGTACCATCCAGGTAAGGCAAACGTTATAGCAGATGCCCTCAGCCGGAAGAGTTCGTCTGGGGCATTGTTGACTAGTTTGAGGGCACTGAGGGCCCAATTGGATGTATCTAGCGACGGTGCCTTATTGGCACGGTTCGAAGTGAGACCGACTTTACTTGATGAGATCAAGAAGGGTCAAGAGACGGACACAGAACTTATGAAGGTCCGGGAACGCATGCAAGCGGGACCGGTGGAGGATTTCAGGGAAAGAGATGATGGTCTCTTGTTATTTCGTGACCGAGTGTGTGTACCGTCAGATGATGAGCTCCGAAAGTCCATCTTAGAGGAGGCTCATTCATCGGCTTATGCCATGCACCCGGGGGGCACGAAAATGTACTGTGATCTGAAAGAAAGTTACTGGTGGTCTGGAATGAAGAGGGAAATAGCCGAGTACATCAGTCGGTGCCTTACTTGTCAACAAGTTAAGGCAGAACATCAACACCCAGCAGGCTTATTGCAACCACTCTCCATCCCTGAATGGAAGTGGGAGCACGTGACTATGGATTTCGTGGTAGGCTTACCACGGACTATCAGGAACTATGACGCGGTTTGGGTTGTTGTGGATAGGCTCACAAAGAGTGCACACTTCTTGCCTATCAACACTACCTACCCACTTGAGAGGTTAGCCAAATTGTATACGGATGAGATTGTGAGGCTGCATGGGGTCCCAGTGACCATTGTATCCGATAGAGACCCACGATTCACATCACGTTTTTGGCCGAAATTTCAAGAGTCTATGGGAACGAGATTGAAGTTCAGTACTGCATTCCATCCACAGACGGATGGGCAGTCTGAAAGGGTTATACAGATCTTAGAGGATATGCTGAGGGCTTGTGCATTGGAGTTCCAAGGAAGTTGGGACAACCACTTAGCACTTGTGGAGTTTGCCTATAACAACAGTTATCAGGCAAGCATCGGCATGCCTCCATACGAGGCATTGTATGGGAGGAGGTGTCGTACACCGTTATGCTGGGACGAGGTTGGCATGGCCAAACTCGAAGGTACTGAGTTGGTTGAGGTCACCAAATCAAAGGTGAAATTGATTCGAGAGAGACTCAAAGCGGCGCAGGATAGGCAAAAGAGTTATGCAGATAAGCGTCGAAGAACCTTAGAGTTTAAGGTTGATGACGAGGTATTCTTGAAAGTTTCTCCTTGGAAAGGAATCATTCGATTTCAAACCCGAGGGAAGCTTAACCCACGATACATAGGTCCATTCAGAATTTTAGAGAGGATTGGGGCCGTTGCATATCGTCTACAGTTGACTCCTGAGTTAGAGAAGATACATAATGTGTTTCATGTATCCATGCTTAAGAAATATGTACATGATCCCTCCCACGTATTGGAAAAGCCGCCTGTAGAGGTACGTGAGGATTTGAACTACGCTGTACAACCAATCAAGGTCACCGATAGAAAGGTGAAGAAACTGAGGAGCAAAGAAGTCCCAATGGTTAAAGTACTTTGGAAGAGCGATCGGGTCGAAGAAGAGACATGGGAAACAGAAGCTTTGATGAGGAAGCAGTATGCTTTCCTATTCGAGTAGAGCTGTGAATTTCGGGGACGAAATTCCTGTTAAGGGGGGGTGAACTTGTGACACCGCACCCGAATGTCCTTGGAGATTTGATTTAGATATTCAAAGTTTATGTATTGGATTTTTGATTCCCGAACAATTTGTAAAACGATTAATGTTCTACGTAGTGCATGGTTGAATATCGTACTGTTCAAACTCGTACACTAGTGTCGGGTTTCGCAAATACTTATTCGGGACTTATTAATAAATAAAAGAGCCCAACATTACCTAAATAGTGACACATAATCCTTCAAGACAATTTGAGGAAGGTCGGGTGGCCCAAACATTATTTTGGGCCAACCTGCTAAAAATAGCAAGTGTTCGAGAATGGCGTTCTAAACCCACTCGGGAGTGACCCACACGGCTAGTAGCCCAATAATACGTATGACAAATGTCAAATAAGTGATTGAATGATTAAGGAAGAATACAAATGCCTATAACCCCACCTTGGGCCTTATTGAGCTAAATAATGGGAGTAGGATTTTCCTTCTATAATATTCATCAAGTAAATTATTGGGATGAGCCTACACATATTGGAGATCAATAATGTGATTTAGGAAGTTGACTTGTTCTAAGTAAATTAGGATGAGTACAAAAAGACATTTTTGACAAAGATAAAACAATAGGACCCATCTTCCCATTTTTGGAAGTATTGGTAGATATTTTGGACCCCAAATTTAATGGGATCAATTGGGAACCACTCCACATGATATTAGTACCTGCAAAACAAATAAAAATGGGTTAGAAGACCTACCTTGGCCGGCCATAATGGAGGGGAGCTGCACATGACTTGATAGGAATCAAAGCTTGGGCCACCATCCTTATTTTCGCACAAATTGGTGTGCTGTTTGTCTCCTCTCATTATAGAAGCTATACTCGACCAAACAACGTGAATAATATGTCCTTGGATAGCCTTTGAAGTCTAGTATCTCAATTGAGTGGTCTTTGTTCGAGGAGAGAAAGCTTATCTTACAAAAATCGAGCTGGAGTGAGTGGTGGTCTGTGAACTCGAGCTGTGAGAGTGCTGAGACTGTTTGGTTGATATCTCGAGTTATACCAATCCAATTAAGGCGTGTTAGATACCAAAAGAAAGCTCTCAAGACGAGGAATCCGTGAAGGTCTGGTTTGCATCAATCGGAGTAGAGGAAGGCTTCCAAATCGTCCGATCAGAACGCGACCTCGCAGGAACGGATTTACTCTTCTAAGTGAGTTGTTAATCCCAAAACCTTTCCTTTCATTTTCCAAATGATATGAACGATTGGTGGAACTATTGTACACTAATCCAAGTGTATAATATGTCCTTGTGAAGTTATTTTATTGATGTAAAGGTTAGATACTAACCTAGATGCAAATATTGGAAAACTAGGAATCGAATTAGCCGGAAAACACCCGTTCTAGGGGCTGTTTTCGTATCAACGATTAGGGGTTGAAATAGCAACTTGAGGAGGCTGTTTAGCACCCATTTTCAAGCAAGGAACTAGTTCTCAATCTTCCTTGGCCGAGGCTTTGGTCATTGGATCGAGAAGGAAGGTTTTAAAGCTCATTTGAGGTGAGGACCGACATCTAGTTGCTTACAACTTGTAGGTTATGCATGAGATTACCTAAATGCTTAAATCATGTTTTTGTGAATAAATATGCTTGAACATGATATGAATGATAAGTAATGGACTTGATCATGAATTGAAACCATATTGATGAATATGGAGTTATGTGAGATAAAGGTATGTTAATATGGTAAAATGACCTTTCCAACTCATATATGAATGTTATGTGTATGTAAATGTATAGTTGCATGATGATGCTTAGCACATGGGAGGCTGCCACATATCTATTGATATGGAGGGGCTACCATTAAGAATAAATGAGTTGTAGGAATAATCTTAATAGTATTGTGATGCTAGTTAAGGATTGTTCTAAATGTTGATAGAATCAAACTTAAGGTTTGAGTTGTTTGTGATGAACTTGAATGAGATTCAAGTGTCAAGTGTGATATCATGGAGTAGGAGATCTATGGTGTGATTGAATGAAGTAGGAGATCTATGGTGTGATTGTATGAAGTAGGAGATCTATGGGGTGAATACATGAAGTAGGAGATCTATGGTATGATTATATGAAGTAGGAGATCTATGATGCGAGTGCATGATGATGTACTCGAGCCTAACTCTAGAAATGAGAAGTTATATTAGGGTTGGACCCTATGTATTGTCGTGACTATTAGTCACGGGGTTTGGGAAATGTTTTATAACAAACACGGGCCTTTGAGCCGACTACTTGACTTTATATAAAGTAAGTATGTATTTTGAAAGGGGTAATCTGGGATTACGGCCTATACTATATTATCACCCTATTTGAGGGTCTTGTGTGTGAAATACTTGTTGTATATCTATTAGATGCCTGCCACACCAGCACTTTATAGCCCTATAGAGTGCTGACCCCTTCGGGGGCGTCCCACCACCATTTTTCAGGTTGAGGCTAGAGCTTGCTTCCTGTGCTCGTTGCTCGAGAGATCATATAGGAGGGAAGACTTGGTTCGTGCTTCCTCCATTCTGTTTTTAAACATTAATAAACATGCTCATGGATATTTTACTGTAGAGCCTGCGTGCTCATGAATAGCCTTGTGTGGCCCTTTCGTTTTAAACAATGTTTTCCGCTGCGTTTCGAATTACTTATTATGTTTGTTTATGGATGTGTATGTGTGAATGATATTCAAGACGCCTTGTATATTATGAATGTGTTGGACTGCGGTTGACTATTCATATTGTACGGCGGGTTGTTGACGTGTCCGGATAGGTCCGGGGCGTGACACTTGTACTTGAACGGCTAAGGGAAAAACAACTCTTTGCAAAGTTCTCGAAATGCGAATTTTGGCTCAAAGAGATTGGGTTTCTCGGGCATGTCGTGTCGGGTTCGGGCATTGCAGTGGATAAGGCCAAGATAGAAGCCATTATGAATTGGGAGAGACCCAAAAATGTGAAAGAGATACGTAGTTTCCTTGGCCTAGCGGGATACTACCGTAAGTTTGTTGAGAAATTTTCGGTATTGGCGTCTCCATTGACAAAGCTCACGAAGAAAGGGGCCAAGTTCATATGGAACGACAATTGTGAGAAAGGCTTTCTCGAACTAAAGAAACAGCTTACGGAAGCACCAGTTCTCGCTCTACCCACACAAGGGATAGGGTATGACATATACAGTGATGCTAGCATCCAAGGGCTTGGATGTGTACTAATGCAAAACGGTCGGGTGATTGCCTATGCTTCTAGGCAATTGAAGAAACACGAGGCGAACTACCCTACCCACGATCTAGAGTTGGGGGCGGTAGTGTTTGCACTAAAGATTTGGAGGCATTACCTCTATGGGGAGACATGTCACATTTTTACCGATCATAAGAGTCTGAAGTATGTGTTCACTCAGAAAGAGTTGAATATGAGGCAAAGGAGATGGATGGAGTTGATCAAGGACTATGACTTGATCATCGACTATCATCCCGGAAAGGCCAATGTAGTGGCCGATGCACTGAGCAGGAAGAGTACGTCGGGGACATTACTCACATGTCTACGAACTTTGAGGGGACAAGCGGAGGTGTCCACGAGTGGGGTCCTCATTGCTAGACTCGAGGTTAGGCCTACGTTGCTAGGTGAGATCAGTAGATGTCAGGCCACTGATGAGGAATGTCAGAAGATCCGGGAGCGGATCCTTGAAGGGCCCGTGGAGAACTTTCGGGTACGAGACGACGGTCTTTTACTGTTTAAGGGCCGTGTATGCATACCAAAGAGTGAGGAGCTCCAAAAGTCTATACTAGAGGAGGCTCATTCTTCGGCATATGCTATGCATCCAGGGGGTACTAAGATGTACCGGGACTTGAAGGAAAGTTACTGGTGGTCGGGTATGAAGAGAGACATCGCAGAGTACGTGAGTCGATGCCTTACTTTCCAACAAGTTAAGGCAGAGCATCAGCACCCGGCGGGGCTTTTGCAGCCACTGACCATTCCGGAATGGAAGTGGGAGCACGTGACCATGGATTTCGTGGTGGGACTACCACGAACAGTGAACAACTATGATGCTGTGTGGGTAGTGGTTGATAGGCTCACCAAGAGTGCACACTTTTTGCCTATCAACATTACTTATCCTCTTGAAAGATTGGCAAAGCTATACACGGAGGAGATTGTGAGATTACATGGAGTCCCGATATCCATTGTCTCGGATAGGGATCCACGATTCACATCTCGATTCTGGCCCAAGTTTCAAGCATCCTTGGGTACTAAATTGAAGTTCAGCACGGCTTTTCATCCACAGACGGATGGACAATCTGAGCGGGTGATACAGATATTGGAGGACATGCTTAGGGCGTGTGCTCTGGAGTTCCAAGGGAGCTGGGACAAACATTTAGCTCTAGTTGAATTTGCATATAACAATAGTTATCAGGCGAGTATTGGCATGCCTCCATACGAGGCATTGTATGGGAGGAAATGCAGAACACCGTTGTGTTGGGACGAGGTTGGCGAGGCCAAGCTCGTGGGAGTTGAACTCGTTGAAATCACCAAGGCGAAGGTGAAGGTCATTTAGGAAAGACTCAAGGCTGCTCAAGATCGGCAGAAAAGTTATGCCGACAAACGACGAAGGCCATTGGAGTTCGAGGTCGGTGATAAGGTCTTCCTAAGGATTTCTCCTTGGAAGGGTATCATCCGATTTATATCGAGGGGAAAGCTTAACCCCAGATACATTGGTCCATTTGAAATCCTTGAAAGGATAGGGGCTGTAGCGTACCGTCTCAAGCTGACGCCAGAACTTGAGAAGATACACGACGTGTTTCATGTATCGATGTTCAAGAAATACGTGAGAGACTCATCTCATATTCTTGAGAAACCACCGGTAGAGATACGTGAAGATCTACAATATGCAGTGGAACCGGTAAAGATTGTTGGGCAACAAGTAAAGAAATTGAGGAACAAGGAGATTCCTATGGTAAAGGTCCTTTGGAGAAGCGATCGAGTCGAAGAAGAAACCTGGGAGACCGAGGCCTCAATGAGGGAGCAGTACCCGTTTCTTTTCGATTAGGCACGAGGATTTCGGGGACGAAATCCCAAATAAGGGGGGGTGAACTTGTAACACCGTCCCCAAGCGTATTTACTTTTAAGTGAATATTGTATTTAACCCTATTGATTGGTTAACGAGTTTATGATGTTATGAATTTTTATTAATTCTTTTGCGGAAATAGTAAATTCGCACGTGGGGCCCACACCGGGAGCGGGGACCGCCCGATATTCCCGAGACCATATATTTTATTCATCTTGGTCTAGATAATATTTAAATGGTGGTGAATATCTCATTTGAGCAATGGAAAGGCCCAGAGTCGACCGATTGGCCAAAAGAGGCCCAAATACCGGTATCGGTAATTTAACCGATAAAAGCCCGAAATGGGATTTCGGAGACCTATAAATTAAAGTTGGGATATGTATATTCATTATAAGGGGTATAATGATTAAGAACACATAATATATTTTATTTGACCCGATAAAATAAAATACAGTTAAAACAGTCCAAAAAAATACAACTTTTGGGACCAATTGTACACTTCTGGACAAAAGGGTTGACCTCCCACATGGGTGGGGGCCAACCCACGAATTTGGCCTCATTTTTCAACACTTTGGCCGGCTGGTGGGAATGGGTAACATGGGAGGGGGTGTTGAATTGATAGAAAGAGCATCAAACAAAAATGAGATGGACCCCCATCCATCCTCATTTGATCTTTGAGACAAAAGACTCTCTCCTCACCCAACTCTCCCTCATCCCTGCGGCCAACACCCTCAAGCAAGAGCCAAGAAAAGTCCCCATCTTCCTTTCTCCATTTTTGAAGAAGCTCTAACAAGAAGGAAGCTCTAGGAAAAAGTTTAAGTTCCAAAAGTGTACAAAACTTGAGGAAAGGCTAGGTAATGACTTCATTTACCTTTTTCTCCTATTTTTCTTGAATATATTATTATTTGAGAAATTATGAAGAACCCTAGGATTGTTCTACATGTTGATAAATGTGGAACAAGGGGTTGGAAGGTGGTTCTATGTCCAAAAATGGATTTAGAAGCCAAACACACAAGTTCACCGGAAAATAACCTTTTAGAGGTTATGTGTATTGATTAAGGTTTTATGATGTTAAAACCTTGTTGGGAACTTGATTTAGAGTATCTTTGAGCTTCGCCGGAGTTTGGCCGGAGTTGGTCAAAGTTCGCCAAAGTTCAATCGGGAAACGTAGATCGCACTTAAGCTCACTTAAGGTGAGGATGACCGACTATATTGCTTATAATCTTTAGGTTAATTTCATAAGATTTCCTAAAGGAATACACAATGTGATTTGTGTGGATTATTAATGGTTAATAATGCCTAAATGAAATTACTATTGAATATAAGTATAGTTTGCATAATATACAAATTTATTGAATAAATTGTGTATGTTTATATGTTATGAATATGATGGCATGATAGTAGTATCAACCATAAATCCCATTTGTGATAAGTATGCTTTTATTTCATGAGAAGAAGCCATGAAAGAATAAAAGTAATATTTTGATATTAAGGTCAAACTACATATTGAATGAAGAACTACATTGAAATGAGTAAATAACTAGTATTGAAATATTAGTTGGGATTGTAGTTGAATAATGGATGAATGGATCCTAAGAAATTGAATTGTAAAGAATCGGTGATTATTGAGCTGGGCTCTAGACCGATGTAGATAACGGTGATTATTGAGCTGGGCTCTAGACCGTAATAGTTATCGGTGATTATTGAGCTGGGCTCTAGACCGATGTAGATAACGGTGATTATTGAGCTGGGCTCTAGACCGATGTAGATGACGGTGATTATTGAGCTGGGCTCTAGACCGATGTAGATGACGGTGATTATTGAGCTGGGCTCTAGACCGTAGTAGGTAACGGTGATTATTGAGCTGGACTCTAGACCGTGATAAGAAATGATGAATTGACACTAAACGAACAAAGTTAATCATGAGATAATAACACCCTAGATTGAGGGTCTTGGAAATTGAAACATTGATTATACTTAGTATAGTTGTCATTGTACTTGTCAAATACTTCCAAGTACTGACCTCCCCTTCACGGGGGAGGCCACCTCACAGTTTCAGGTAGAACTTGAAGGTTGCTACCAGTGCCGTTGCTCCGGAAGAATTTAGGAGAAGACGTGGTTCGTGCTTCCTCTGTTCCTGTTTTAAAATCATTTAAATTAATGCTCATGGATGTTATCTTTTGAATAATTATTTGATGGCTTGTATGCCCATGTTTCGCCAAGTGTGGCTTGAACACTTGTTACATTACTTCCGCTGTTTTAAATGAATATTTTACATTATGGTTGTTTACGGATGAACTATGTGTGAATGGTATACAAGACGCCTTGTACAATATGGATGAGTTGGGCTGCGGTTGACTATTCGTATTGTACGGCGGGTTGTTGACGTGTCCGGCAGGTCCGGGGCGTGACAAGGTGATTACTAAACATACGAATGAATTAATTGTAAAGGTGCCGTAGCAGAATGTAAAACATCATGAAATGGCAATCTATGAGATTTGCCCAGTCTACAAGAAGTGCAAGAAAAATTAAAAGTACTAGTATTATTTATTAAATGTGTGCGCCGCAAAGTAGACAAAACGCTATCACCACAATGACCCAACTATACTATTGCATATACCGTTCAGGATACACTTTTTATTCGATCTCTTCTTGCCGATATGGGCTTCTTTGTGCCTAAACAAGTATAGCTTCACTGTGACAATGTCTCAGCATCATATTTGGCAGTGGATCCTATACAGCATGATTGAAGCAAGCATATCAAAATTGATTATCATTTTGTCAAGGAATGGGTAGCTTATGGTGATCTTATTGTTAAATATATTCCTACACAGTTCCAGTTAGCTGACATATTTACGAAAAACTTGTCTAGTCAGCGTTTTGA